TTGAAACAATGAGGAAGAGAACATGATTTCCTTTTTACCACATGAGGCACAGTGATAAACTGTTTTACAATGCTGCTACCTCACAAAGCCTGAGGTAAAGATTTACTGCTATCACATCACAGAATTAAATATTTCTTGGGTTTGTTTATTCTAGAGATTAGTTTCTAATCTGGAACTAAGACTTCAGCACAGATCAGCTGGATTTTTATGTCGATATTCTGTTACATCAGCAATATCCTGGTGATTCATTTTGGTAGCTTTCTATTTCTTTTAGTCTCTTTAATCATGCTTTTTCAATTTATCTAAATTTTAAAGTTTTTGCAGAAGGGTGTAAAAATTCCTAAATAACTGGATAAGTGTCCTAGTAAAACATTATCCTTTCCAACCACATTATCTTTTTGTGCAATGGAATAATTACTATAATTTTAGGTAGTGAAACAAGTATAAATACATTAGTTAAAAATGCTTTGAATGTTGGCTCTCCCACCCTCTGCATTTTTAAAGCAGATTGCTTTTTCAGTCCACCAGCAGAATATGAAAATTTCTTATACATCCTGTGCTTCCAGCACTACTTCTGAAGTATTCCTTTCTTTGGCAATTCTAATGAAAACACATGAGGGAAAAAGTGACTTTCCCATTTTTTCCTACCAGATAGTACTTGCTTCTCATATAATGAACACTTTATGGTGCAAGAGACACTCAGAATAGATAGAACTGCTGATTTCCCCCTTCCTCTAAAGCAAAATCAGATACTTTAGAGTGGTTTTCCTTCCTTGCACACCCCAGCCAGTCCGTCCTATTCTGTGGTTAGTTATAGTGGAACAAATGATACTTCTATAATTTGGGTGAAGTCTGCCTTCACCATCCCACCCAACCCTGCCATCGACTTTAGAAAGTTTAAACCTGAAGGCAGCTGTCGGTTTCTTTTTTCCAACATGCCCCTTGCATTTACTGCCAAAATTCTTTTCTCATTGGGTTCTTGACATGCAGTAAGAGGCTCGATCACATTTGTAATAATTGTAAAAGTAATTATAATCGTTACTGTTTTAGATCGAGCAGTAATCTGGAACATTCAAATGACTTTGTTATTTCAGGTAAAACGTGAAATATGAAGTAAAACAAGTTGAACAAGAATGAGTTACAGGCTCTCTAGAAGGAAAACTTCTTGAGACCTGGAGGGGAGGAGTGTGAGCTGTCAGTGTACCCATGAGGATGTGGTCCCATGAAAGGATCGGGAGGAGCTGTGTGCGTGTCTTCCTGTGGGCACCCTCTAAATCTCATGCCATTTACTAGTAGTTTGGCTGCGGGGACTGAGTTTCTATTATTGGTGATTTCATGTTGTGGAGACTGGTGAATCTTAACAAGACATAAACGAGGAAACACTAGAACACCATGGAACCATTCACAAGCATCTCAAGTGTGGGGGAATTCATTAGGGAACGTCAGCATTCTCCTAATTATTGCTTAAAGAGCTCAATATCTAATGAATCGATGGTAAAAAATATTTTGATATTCTTTTTTTTTTTATGACGTGCCCACTATGTGTCATTTATTTTTGAAATATTCATTGTTCATTTTACCCAGAGTGAAAAACCAAAGGGCTTGTTTTCAAACTGTGCATGGTGAATGCTTCGGCTTTTGTGACGGTACCTGGAAGGCTGCTGGGGTAAAGGTCAACGGTACCTGTCCTTGGCCTCGCAGCATTGCTTCAGCCAGCACTCGTCTTCCTTATCTCTTTTATAGAGTGGCAATTTACTGAAGATTTTATTTTCATAAAATTCTATTGCTTAAAAAATGTTCGAAAGCCATCACTTTAGGAAATTGGTGTTATTGTACACAGAACAATAAATCACTTCTTTTTGAAGAATCATTTTGGATTGTTCACATCTCAGAGATGAAATATGTGACTTCTTTCCTCTCTTCTCCTGAGTCACAAGTACTGCCTAGACTGGAATTCTTGGAATTTTTTTTTTTTTTTTTAACAAAAATAGGTCTCTGCTTGGTAAAAAGTTTTTATGTCATAAAATATTTTAGTACATAAAATATATTTTTAAAATTTTTATATATTTTAAACCACTTTATTGTGATATTATTGGCAGAAAGCTACACATATTTGATGTATACAACTTGATAAGTTTGGAGATGAGCATACACCCATGGAACAATGTAATGCTTAGAATTAAGAATACTGTCTTGTATACTTAAAAATTTGGTAAGAGGGTAGATCTTATATTGAGTACAAATAAAAAGGGCAGGAGGAAATTTTTGGAGATGATAGATATATTTTTATAACTTTGATTTTGTAGCCGATAGGCATGTAACTCACAAATTAAGAAGTAAAATCTTAAGTATATGGCAAGAGACAAGATGATGTTTCAGATGGCCTTGATTAACACAATTTCTAGTTCTGCTGACAAAAGAAGGTTGTTTCTAAGATATACCTTTTAAGAGGTATCCAATTATGTCTTCGCTTTTTGAGTACATTAAAAATTTATCTTGTTTAATGTCTCCTAAAAATAATGTAAGTTGAGACTCAGAAATAATTAACTTTCTTGAAGAATATCTATATTTCTTGTTGGGTTGGAGCAACAGGAGTTATCTATTCACAACAGCTTTCCTCAGGTGGGCTCAGAGGATAATTGACATTTGGGGAACGAGATGGTTTGGGCCTGTATCATTTCCCATCTTCCTCTCTCAGGAAGCAGTTACAGGCTATATTTCTTCTTGTTGTTTGACTTGGGATTTCTTTTTTGTGGGGAGGAAGATAATTCAGAATATGTTGCATGAGTAGTGTTGGGAAAATAGAGATTAGTAATTAGGGGAGATTGATGAGCTTCTGTGTACTGTGAACTGGAGAGTCTTGGAGAAACAAATGGGTGATACCTGTCTAAGCATAGACTGGGAAGAAGAGAGAGGTAAAATCATTCATTTTTACCCCTAAATGACTCTAAAGAGAGATTTGTTTTTTTTAAATTTTAAAATCCTGAATTTGATATGTGGGTTGCTTGGATTTTAATTTGCTCTTGGATGATAACTCATTAACAGTTAATCGAATAAGAACACCGTGTTTTGAACCTTATTAGGTCTTTCCCAAGAAGTATCGTATTAGAAGCCAATCATTGGTTAGCTTCCTATTTAATTTATTTTTAATCAAGTCTTCTACTACCACTCAATGAGTTAGGTGAAAAATCTTGAACACTTCAGGTTATTAGTTAGTAAATGTTGACTTTTTCTGGTATGACATTCAAAAAGTCAGTGCAGTTAGATCTCAGATTTTTTTTCATTCCACCTGCTCCAATTGGTTTGTCCCTCCATTATTTTAGCACTTCTATACATATATATTGAGACTTAAGCCACTGTGGGGCTATGTAGCAAATGTTGAACAGGTAATTTCTTTTGCCCAGAAATTAGGAGGAAAAAAGTATGACTCTTGTAGAGGTAGAGGGAGGGTATTTACAATTATTTCTATAGCAGAATGTATTAGAGTTGGCCACACTCTTTTAAAATAGTAAGAACTTTAGGATTTTGCTTTTTTTTAATCAGAATAGGAAATATCTTGATTTGATATAAACTATGAATATGCAGGAAGATTATTTTCACAATTATTTTACTGCTTTTAAAGATATTGTAAATAAAAACAATACAACAGAAGGACTTCAGTTATAATTTTTATATTTCAGTGTAGAAACATCCTTTCCTATGGTCATGCTATGTGTAGAGACACATTTTATTCTGGTACAGTTTCATTGAACTTATGGTAATTGTAGTCATGGACTTCATGTCTCTTTTTTTCTCTCTCTTTTTTTTCTTTCTCTCCCTCCTCCCTACTTCTCACTCTCCCTGCTTCATTCCTCCACATAATATTCACTTACAAGGCAGCTCTACTGTAATGGACCAGGCGCTGGGCTCAGCCTCAGAAGATGGAGGTTTAAGTTTTCTCTGCCATATACAAACTCTGAGAACTTTGGCAGAATACTTAACTTCTCAGGACCTCAATTCATCTATAAAATAAAGGAAATATTCTATGGTTGCAAAAGATTAAATGAAGTAATATATACCAAGGAACACAATTAACACTGACATCCTATTGAAAATTTTTTTTATACATAAGCGTTACCGTTTCAACCATCTTAAGTGTATCTTTCAGTGGCATTAAGTACATTTACAATATTGTGCAACCATCACACTATCCGTTCCAGAACTATTTCCCAAATAGACACACTGTACTCATTAAATAATAACTCTCTATTTCTCCCTCCCCCAGCTCTTGGTGACCACCTTTCTACTTGCCATTTCTATGAATTTGACTGCTCTAGGTATTTATATAAATGGAATCATACAATATTTGTCCTTTTGTCTCTGGCTTGTTTCACTTAGCATAATGTCCTCAAGGTTCATCCATGTTGTAGCATACGTCAGAATTTTATTCAGTCCTTTTGAAGGCTGAATAATATTCCATTTTATGTTTATATCACATTTTATTTATCCATTCATCCATTGATGGACATATGGATTGTTTTCACTTTTTAGCTATTGTGAATAGCACTGCTATGAACATTGGTGTGCAAATATCTGAGTCCTTTTTTTCAATTCTTTTGGATGTACACCTAGAAGTAGAATTGCTGGATCATATGGTAATTCTTTAACTTTTTGAGTGACATCCTATTTTTAAGTATTTTTTTGAATCTATTGATTGTAGTGGTGTGACTCCTAAATGGAGTGTTTGTTCATAGTGGTCTTTAATTCCCATAGTTTACATGATATGAGTCACCTTAACTGAGTAAGGTCACCTTAAATTTCAGGACTCCAATAACACCTTGCCAAGGTGACAGGTTCTTCAGCCCATGGTTCTCAGAAACACATTCATTGTACGCTTAGAGATCATTGAGGGTGAGGATTTGCTCTGTTGATGCCTAAATGTATTGCTTAAACAATAGCTGTATCAATGGATATAATATTTTCTGCTTTGGAACTTTCTGTAGGGATTGAAAAGACTGAAGAAGGCTGAAGACAGGCTGATGGGCTCAGTTGGTAGGCTGCATTATCTCACCATGAATGCTGAAAATCCGACGCCTGGAGACCTGGCTCTTGCTCCCCTCATCACTTGCAAACTCTGCCTGTGCGAACAGTCTTTGGACAAGATGACCACACTCCAAGAATGCCAGTGCATCTTTTGCACAGCTGTAAGTTTTCCTTGATGCCTTCATCATGGGAGAATACCAAGGAAGAACTGTAAAAGTTCAGGATACATTTGTGGCTTACTGAGAAGCCAGGGTTTGTTAAATATAAATATGATCCTGCATTGAAGAGCAATTTCACATTTAGAGCTGCTTCCAAATAGTATCTTGAATGGTAAAGCCTGTATTTACTAGTTTTTAGGAAAAGTGTAAAATTTGCGTGAAATCTATTTATTTATTTTTAATTAATTAATTTTTTTATGGTGGCATTGGTTAACGAAAATTTGATTATTAGTTGAATAAGCAGAGTTCTTAAAGTTCTAGCTAAGGAACAAAATAGAGACATTTTTAACATGCCTTAGTTACTTATCATTTGCAAGAAGCTTTGTATTCTTTCTCATCTCCTTTAAGGCACATGGTGTACAACTGTTTTACTTTGTCATAGCTCCTTTTATTTTTCTATTTTCACAATATGCTGAAAGCTGCTTATTCCTCATAATAGAGAAACCTATAGATCTCCAGGTATGAGCTTATCTCTTTCAGTCTGACACTTGATATCAATACCAGTGACCTTCATTGCAAGTTTCCCTGAAGGCTGGTTAAGGCATAGAGGTAGGAAACAGATTGATGAGTTCAAAGTGACTGTTAGAAGTTTGAGCCCAGGTGGTCTTATTCAAATTTTCATGTATTCAAACATTTTTTGAGCTCCTCCTATGTGCCAGGCACTCTGCTGAATGTTGGGAATATAATAATGAATAAGACACTTTCCACAGAGAAGATGGAACTCTACAAGAGTCTGGTAAAATCAGGGACAGCTAAACATAGTGTTCCACAGGAGCATCTCACCTACTCTGGGTTGGGTCCTGCTTGCAGTGATCTCTGAGTTGAAGTTTTAAATAAGAGATTATAAACTGATGTCCATGGCCTCATGGAAGATTACAAACTACATCTGGCCTCAACACATTTTTGTTTGGATCCCCAACTTGGAAATTTAAAATAACAAATTTTATAATTTTTTCATGAAAAAGTGGTAAGGTACAGTTATCCTGTGCCTGTATTCATTGGCCCAGAAATAGATGATCCTTTCTCTATTTACATACCTGACTTGCTCCTGTATGTATTCAAATCAACTACACTTTCAAACTCAGGATGGGTTAAGAATTAGACAGAAAGAGTCCTTGACATCTCAGCATGATAGAGAGGAGGGCCCAATGCCTAAATTATAATATTTACCATTTATCTTTTCTTTGGTAGGCCTTATATGGGCAGTCTGTTAATATTTGTTATACAATCAGTATAGTAATCCCCAGACAAATGTGGGTTTAATGCCCTGATTTATAAAGGAAATTGAATAGTTTAGTTACAGTAACCAACCAGTGGTTAAATCAAGGGGAATAAGGAGAGAGGAATCATTTAGAAAGTAGAACCATTTAGAAAGAGGCAAGTTTACTAAGGTTGACTGTGAATGTTTTTTTTTAACAGACAAGTTAGGTGAAATAGAATTTATTTCATCTTTCCTTGTTAATTTAATCAACATGGCCCATTTTCAAGTTAGTTTGTACCATTTTAAAAAATTTTATTTTTGATTGAGGATTAGAGTAGGGAGAAGCCTCAGCATGGTATTTAGGTGAAAAGGAAAGAGACTAAAATCCTTTTTTTTTTTTTTCATTTTGAACTCTAGGATCCAAAGATGACAAAGAATAGAATTGTTTGTTCATTCATTCGACAAAAATCTAGTGAGCAGCATCTGTGTCGCAGAAACTGTTCTAGGCGTGAGGATTTACCAGTTAAAGAAAGAAAACCCAGCAGAGATCCTTGCTCTTACCAAGTTACCTAATACACAAGAAAAGCAATGAATAGGTGTGTTATAGTATTGGGTGAAAAGGGCTCAGGAAAAAAATAGAGCAGGAGAAGAGGTTAAGCATGCGGGTGAGGAGGTGTTGCACGCGGTTCAAGTAGAGTGGTGAGGAAGAGGCCTCACTAAGTGATGTTTGTGCTGGTTCTTTATCATCTTGTCAGCGTGTGTTGCTTTATAGGAAGTGAGGAAATGACCTTGTCATCGAGGGCAGCTGCAATTTCCTTTGGTCTTTCTTTGTTTCTGAACGCTATGCTTCCAAAATGATTATTTCTCTGACTTTCTCACATATGTTTTGGACCCTTGCTAATCCTTCAAACAAATGAGTCAGAAGCAACATTTGGTTAAAAGCAGGATGGAAATTTTTGTCCAAGAGTTATGGATGTTTAAAAGCAGGATACGGAATTCAGTTTTTGCTATGAGATTTAATAGTGCGGAATTCAAGTTTGTGCGTCAACGTTGGGTAAAGAGTACACAGGCAAAGGTTGTATTTCATGGTCCCAAAGAGCTGACACTGACATATTGTTTCAGTAGATCTTAGTTCCCAATTATAAACAGAACGACTGCTTCTCATTTTCCCTTCAGCAATTTAGGGGTAGGAGTACAATTAGATTATTCTGTCATTTAGGTTCATACTTCCTCATTGTTGGGGAATGCTGAAAAGCAGAAAGTCATATGGCTTGGTATTTTTGGTGTCCCTCCAACTTTGGAACGTTTTGTACCTATAAACATTAACCTTCCCTGGCTTACTGATACCCTCTTCCTTATGATCTGCCAAAATAATAAGCTCTGTGTGTTTGATCACCTTAGTGTCTGTAAATTTGCAATTGATATCAGATTCACCTGAAATACTACTATAACTTTTTATTGTTGGAGCTTTTATTTCTTCTTTTCAAAAAATATTTAAAAATGTGTCTAATCCCCTCAGATATTAATTTGCACTCAAATTAAAGATATCAGATGTATTTTGTGTTTTCAAGGCTGAAAATAAATTTGTGACTTTTTATTATGCCATGTACTACTAATTTCTAACTTTAAATATGATTGGATGACATCTCCCAATTATTGGCTTGGAAAGACTTCTGGTACATATCATATTTTTAAAATGGTTTTGTTAAGATAGTCCCTCTCTCCCCTACTTTCAGGGAATGGCCAAACATCATGGTCTTCTAACTGGATATAGTGCTATACTGATATATTTTCATAGATTTAATCATGCTTTTTATACATTCTGTCTTTGTCTTGTTTTCTCTAAGATGTATCCCTGACCATTTGTTGTGAGGTTGAATTCTTTCTGTTTCCATGATCAGGGTGCTCTGGGAGTGCAGAATGGACAGATGTGGAGTGTCTCACTTGACCATTGGATGTTAGTTAGTTAGTTCATTCTCTATCTTTAGGGAGACCTGGCCTTTAAATAGGCGCTGCCCCAACCTGAATCTGTTCCATGGACCTCCGTCTCTATGCAACAGAGATGCTCCTTGAATAAAGTGTTCCATAGTCAAATTAGCTTAGAAACTGGTATGTAATCTATTCTTCTCTTGGAGGGACCTAATGCATATTTGCATTTTAGAGACTCTGAAATCTTGTGGTCAAGAGGAAAGCCAGGGGACCCTGTTTAACTTCTTCTGAAGCATTCCCATTTGATCATACCACATTTTCTAGTGGCATACCTATTAACTTCCCCACAACCAGTTTTCTGAAGAATGCTACTTTAAATTATTCCATCTAGATAATTCTCGATTTAAATGACATCCAGAGAAAGGAGTGTGACAGATGTTGCTTTATATAATCCATCAATATATCTAGTTTCTTGTTAAAGGAAACTTAACATGATCTATCTGCGAAGATGGTTTCTGTTACACTATTTTCTCAGCTTTAATATACAGAAGAAAGGCTAGTATAAAGCAAGGGACGCTGAGTCTACAGGACAAAAATGAGCATAGCTCTCATTAGCATGACTGAAGTCATAGATCATCGGCGTATCATGGAGTGAGAGAATTTGATATTTGGGGGTTATGGAGAGAGGTGGTGCCAAATTATTTGTTATTGTAATTAAAGGTTAAATTTCTCAAGGATATTTGTCTACTGACTAATGATATGCAAAAACTTAGTTTCTTTCTCTCTCTCTCTCTCTGCCTGTGGATTTAAATAACCTAAATATGAAAATTCAAAATTTCCTCTTGCTTCTGCAACTCACTTTTTTAGATAATAACACATGATTATAATTCAAGTGAAAGAAGAAAAATTCACAAGTCAGTTATCAAAGGAGGGCAAATTTGTGGGTTTGTTCCCTTGTGAGCAATATTTGCCTCTTTGATTTATTTTGGAAGCTATTTCTGTTAGCTATGAATTAAATAATCATGAAAACACGGTTGTTGCTTGTTTTTATAACCTAGATAATTTCACCTGAAAAGAGTTGGTATGTTGGGCATGGCCTATTTACCTTTCAGATTAAAGACAGGATGTGCTGAGCAAAAAGAAAATAAAGTCCAGCCATATTCTTGCCTTTTCTCCATTACGTTTTGTTGGCTCTAAATAGTTAGAACTCCTTTTACTATTCATTTCTCTGAGCCAAATGGATTTTCCAATGTTTAAAAAAGTGAGAGGAAATATAAAACTTTTTAGACCAAGCCCTTCTTTTCCTTGGGGCCTGGTGGGTGACCTTTAAGAAAAGCCCACATATGGCCTGGGAGACATTTCAGTTTGGGAAGATTTGCAGAGAGAGGGAGAGAGGGAGAGAGAGAGAGGGAGAGAGAGAGAGAGAGAGAGAGAGAGAGAGGGGTCCATGACCACTGCTATTTTCTCTTTCATCATTCAGTTATTTCCCTGAAGCACTTCTAATAATCTGAATTTATTTTGCTCATGAGGGAGGAGAGGGAGGAGAGAGAGGGGAAAAGAAAGAAGGAAGGAGAGAGGAGTGTGTATGCATATGTTTGTGTGTCCATGTACAAACTTGTGTACCCACATGGTTGGTAACTTTCAAATGAAGCAAAGAACCTGCAATAGTTCTTTTCTGGATTCTAACTGATATCTTTATTAGGATAAAGGAATGCCATTTTTCTACTCCCACCTCCATTTTTCTCTCCCAGTGTAACATGGTGGTTAAGAGTGTAGATACAAAACTAGAAAAATCCAGGCTCAAGTTCAAGTT